AACTCCCCCTCTGGGCGGTGAGAAGGCATCGAAACTAAAATGCCAGACAAACGGGCGCGGATGGCCTTGGCCTCCGCCTCGGGCTCCAGGAGAGAATCTGCTGCCGCGCTCGGGACCTGCGCGGCTGGAGAGAACCTGCCAGCTAGTTTGTCAGCCAGCTCGTTGAATTGAAACAAAGCCTTCAAAGCATCTGACGCTCGCTCGAACTCGGAAGCGGTCGCGCGGCTAGCGACATTGACCACGAGGACGTCTCGGGCCCCCCAGAGCTCTCGGGCGAGGTGCCAGAGGTCCCGATTCGTCTTCGGCCTCCAATGGGCCTTCGAGCGCAGACAGAAAGCACCTCGCTGGACGTAGGCGCTGTCAGTGACATAGGTCAGGTCCTTGCCTGGGGTAGCCAAAAGGGGCCCCTTGAGGGCAAACAACTCACCCCGGTTGATTCCCTGACGCGGGCCAGAGAGGGCCCCTCCAAAAGCTCCAGAAGCACATAGAAGGCAGAGGCACCTCCCTGGGGTCAGCCCCGAAGGCAACAGAGACAACTGCCCAGGTGATACGACGAAGCCTAGCGTGACTAGAGTGCTTCCCCCCAGACGCGCCCCCGCTCAGCCAAACCCTCCCGTCCATGAGAAGGGCCCCCAACAGGTTGTGCGGGATCGCACCTGGCACTGGGAGGCTTGGCGGGTCGATCCGCGGGTCTAGCTGGATGTGTAAATTGTCTGGCGGCTCTGGGACAGCCGTCCATTCTCTGGGGATGAGGCCTCGGAGCCAATAGCACGGATGCGGCCGAGCTCCTTGAACTGCTTGGTATTTAAAATGCTGCGTGTCGGCGCAGCGGGGAATGTCATTATTGGCAATGCAGGTCCAGCAGCGGTGAAGGTCGGTCTCGGGCTCAACCTCGCAACGCGGACACAAGATAGAGTCGACCTTCACCCCCGCCTGGGAGAGCCGAGCTTTGGGCCGGAAGCCTGCCGTCATGACCGTGCTGAGGGAACCTCTAAACTTGCTGGATCCCTTCTTGGCTAAAGCACGCATCATTTTTAAGATATCCGTGGTTTCGGCCCCCTGCTCCAGCCCCCCCCCATTATAATGCTTAGAAGCGTGTGCCCAGACGGAGAGCCTCAAGGTGTCTCTGAAGACCTCCAAGAAAGGCTCCCAGTCATGGTCCGAGTCGAAAGTATCTTCACTCACCTCATACTTGTCGCCAGTAGGGTGGGTCCACTTCCACGGCCCCTGAAGGCCCCAACCCGCGGAGAGCAAACCAGAGATCGTGCCCGAGATCAGGCCGTTCACCTTCCTCCACTGGCGGTTCTGAGGGGTGGCGCGCAATTTCTTCAAAATGGTCGGCCAAGCTCTGGCCGCTCTCTTCCTGAAAGCTTTCGACGAGGCGAGCATCTCGAACCACAGACTGATGGTGGCCGTGGGCAGGGAGATAGCGGGGTCCTGGTCCTCGTAGTCAATGTGCAACGCCGTGGTCAGACATCTACCTCGAGCCTTCGAGGTGGCGAAACGACCGAGAGACCTGCGGAGCTGGGGGAGGGGCTCGGGAGAGAAGGGGATGACCTTGGTGTGATAGCTAATCCTAGGGATGATGCCCGCGGTGGCAATTCGGCGAGCAGCGCGAGAGCCTGGCGTGCCACGAGCAATCTTATTCAACTTCCGAGCCTGCCACGAAGCCTGCTTTTTCCTCGCGCGATGTTTGGAGGCCTGGTGCAAACGGCGGTGGCCTCTCTCGATGCCGAGGCCAGCTGCAGCTCCCAGACTCTTAACCTGTAGGCCAGCTTGTCTTAAAACTGAAGTGAGCTCTGCTGCGAGGACCCTGTCGGAGGCTATAACAGCCGACTTGTCCGAAAGCTGAAGACCGTCGGCAGAGACTCCCGCAGAAAACTGCATGGCCGCCTCCGTGAGGGATTTTACGACGGCCTTGCGAGGCCCCTCATGACGGAAATTCACATCGTCGACCCAGGATTTGGCGACGAGCCCCTTGGGGAAAAAGGCCCGATTGACCGAGTCCAGGACAGGGAAAAGAAAAGCCGCGGCACCGTTTTTTGCAATCCTACAAGTTGCTAGGGTCCCTGATGAGGCCAGGATGGGATCACTGCAGGAGGAACGCTCTCTTAAAATCCGCGGGCCCACGTACAGCTGGGCCGAGAGGAGAAGGGCCGTGGGGGAGTGCCTTAGGTCCAAGCACCTGTGCATTAGCAGGCCTACATCAAGGGAATCATAAACTTCTTTTATGTCAAGCAGAATGCTGGCGTGCGAAATCCCGATGGCATCCGCTGCCTCGTCCATGAAATGCCTTCCTACTGCCGCCCTGAGGGCGCTGCTGCCACGAATGGCCTCGCTCCAGAACCCCGCCTCCCCCTCCAGCCAATCCCGCGAGATCTGATTACGGAGGAGGCTCCAGAGCCTGGACAACCAGCACAGAAGGGCAATCGCCCGTTGGCCGCCAGAGCCCTTAGACAGGAGACCGATGATAGACGGTAGCAGTTGCCATGGCCAGGCCAGATTAGACTCAGCTGCGTGGAAAACCGGCAGCAGCTCGGTTTGGCCCTGGGGCCCCAGCTCCTGGGTGTCCCGAGGGCCTAGGTTCTCGACCCCACGACCAGTCTGGACAGGGATTTGCCGCAGGGCCCTTTGGAGGTGCTCCAGGGTAAGCGCTGGGAGGGGCTCCTTTTTTTGCAGAGGCGCGGCCTCGCTGGGAAGCCGACTCGACCCTCTGCCACGCAGCACTTAAATCAGGGGCCGTCCATTTTGCGGCCCATCGGGACCTACGCAGGTCCATCAGCTCGAGCGGAGAACCTGCCACCCCCTTCATCAGCAATCAGCTATGAGGTGACCTGAGCCTTGGGCTTGGAGTAGCGGTGGAGGTTCCCAACCTAGTCCGAAAGAGATTCTGCTACCCAAACCTTACACTCAGCATGCGAAGCTCTGGCCGCTGCCTGCTTGGCCTGGGCCGCATTTGCCTCCGCCGTTTCGCGGACAGCGCGCCGCCCCAGAGACCCCAGATGCTGCGGGTCTCGGAGCCAGATCTTCCATGACAGAGCAGCTGATGGCTCCAAGGCCAAAGAGGGCCCCGAGGGGACTGAGTGCGCCCTCTCGGCGAGCCTCGAAATAGCTCCCTTACCCTGGGGCGTGGGGTATTTGCCGAGGTCCGCCCTCTTAGCAGACTGCTCCCCGATAGCGGCCAGGGTGGCCACTTCGGCCCACCAGCGGGCCAGCGGGTCCGAAAACCGAGAGGGCTAGTCCCTTCGGGTCATTTTTGAAACGGTGGACACCTGGGTGAAAGCGCGGCCAGAGTAAAACTTGTGCTGCTCCTTAGGCAGCTGGTAGATGTCGCAGTAGAAACGTTCAAGTGGATCGACCCAGCTCGAAAAGAGAACCCCAAGGGCCGCAGATTGGGTCGAGAGCCTGAAAGCCCAGGAGTCCTGGATGAAACTAGGGATCGGCTTTGCAGAAAGGCATGCGGGGCTCAGGTCACTCCAGCGGGCGTCCTTCTCGGCGTCCGTCAAGGTGATCTGCTCGGGCCCCTTCTCGACATGGTCAGGTTGCAGGGGCAGCCCCCCCCCCCCCCCTCTCGATGTACATGGGCGGGGTCATCTTCAGCGGGTGTTACGTGTGAATAGTTGGTCCAAATGCGATTTGCCAAGTTACTGTTTTTCGAAACCGCTACGGGCGCCAGTGGGGGCGAGAAAGCCGCGCCCGTTGAAGAGCGCGGCGCAACAGCAGCTGCTGGCTGCTGCGGTGAAACCGTAGGAGCAGACGGGGTAGCACCGTCGAGCTCCTCATCCGAATCAATGTCGCTTAGTATATCCATACCGTCAACATCAACTTCGGCTTGGCCCATCAGGCTGGGCATCGGAGGTTGCAGACCAGGTCGCACACCGCAGCCATCCCCTGGCCCTGGGCCATGAGCAGGTTCGCCGCAAGCGGCGGCAGCGAGGACAGCGCGGGGAGGGTACAGGGCCATGATCTGAATCACCTCGTCGTAGCTCCTGGGCGGGAGTCCTTTTCCATGCCTGGGTGCGGGTTGCTCTTGTCCATCACCCTCATCAAGGTCCTGTGATGGTGCTGAGTGCTCCAGACGACGCGATGCTCCCTCCTTAGTATGATTAGCCTTGCGCCTGGATCGCTTGCTGCTGGGGTCAGGGCCTCGCTTGGGCCTTGGTGGGTGCGGGAAACGTCGAGGCTGCGGCAAACTGCGAATCTGCGCCAATCGGGTGTCCACCCGAATCTTGAAACAAATACCTGTGTGATCTCCTGAAGCCTCGTCTGCGTAGCATGTGGGTCCCAGGCCCATAGCATACCTTGAAACCAGACAGAAATCGAGGAGGCTGTATGGCGCACGATTGCACGTCCAAGTAGTATTTGATGGGCTTAGAACATATCCCAGGAGATCTGGCCATTTGGATCGCCTCAGGTCCGATGGTGACACATTCCAATCCGCCGCGACAACCCAAGGCATCTGCGAAAGCCTGAGGAACGCCCCTAGGTTCGTGAGCTTCTCTGCTTTGGCCCCCACGAGCTTCTCCCCAGGCGTGAGATAGAGGGCGACAAATATGAAGTCCATGCCTCCCGTGAGCTCGACCGCCACGGGCGCGAAATCCCAGAAATCGATGGGGCCGCCGCCCTTGAGAATGCCGTCAAGGCGGCCAGCACCCACCTGCTGCTCACCAGCGCGACAAAGGTTCTTGAAAGAGTGGCTCTTGATGTGTCGCCTCACTCCAGCGATGACACCACCAGCTCTCTTGACCGAACGAAAGGCCCTCGGAGGGGCGAGAACTGATTTCCAACCGTGCTTATCCATGGCATCGACGATGGCGTGAGAATCCCCTGAGTGGGCCCCAACAAAGTCCACAACATCTGCGCCTGAAGCTCCATCCTTGATATCGTTGAGGGTTGACGGCCCCCGAGTAGTAATGTTCTTGAAATAGAATGCCAGCTCTCGAGAGTCAGGCGCCTTCGCCTGGCCCGCGCCGCGGTCTGGCCTGCTGGAGCTCATGCCG